TATATACGGATTATCTATGCAACATAACATTCAGCTCCTGACCAGTTGAACAGCTACATACCATATCTTTGCCGTGGAATACAAATCCCTGCAGCGCCTCAACGGCCTGCACGGCGCTGTCTACCGTTTTAAACGCTACCCACGCCTGCCCTCTGCATTTCAGAGTATTTCTGGCGGATACCTCTATGATCTCTCCGAATTGTGAGAATATAGCTGTCAGCGCTAATTTGAGCGCCGGGATTTTGACCTTCTCGTTGAGGTTGCTAATGTATACCGTTTGTGACTGGGGCGAGCCCTGGATCTGTTCCGGCATCTTGCCTTCTGTGTAGAAGAATGCTCAAGCTAGTGCTGTAGTTCTATATATTATGGGATGCCTCTATATAGTAGCAAGTGAATAGGGGTAGCGCTACTAGATGTCAATTGACGTTCTGTACTACTTGCCTGCACAAAGTATACAGAACTCGCGTCGTTGTTATTGTCAACTATTTGTGGAGTTGCCTCACTTTTGGCTTTTCTGTGTGAACACGTTGCACAGAAAAAAAACTGTTGTGCGCAAATAATCAAATACACATCACTCAGTGCACTTTCGCATTGAAACTAAAACACATCAGGTTCCTCAGTACATCATGATTTTATTTCTGCCATTCTGACTGGAGATTTTTTAGGAATTTAGTTTGGCGTTTTTGAAATTTCTCAATTTTCAGGGCTCACAATTTAGGGTTTATCTAGCGTTGACGCGATTGAAAAACCCCTAATTTTGAAAAATGATTCATGGTGAATTTCCCGCCGAAAGTGAACCACACGTTTTGCCTGTTGAGATTTCTACCCGATATTTAAAAATATATATTTTTAAATTATGTAATGATAAGGGGCTTTCATCGATGTTTATCTGTTAAATATAGTACAGGACATTTCGTGGTAGTTGCCTGTGTTTCTATACCACTTGGTGGTCGTAACGTGACAACCGGCCGGTACACACACAGCCTTAGCACTATGGCGGACACTTTGTTTACAATACGCAGGTGCTGTGTGCTTGTCTCCAGGAGAAGATCGCCCATCAGCACACTCATAGGACTCAATACAATGGCACTTGAAAAGACAGTAACGTACACACAGAATTCGGGTTTGTGTACACTAAATCGAGGGTTTCAACAGTCACTCTCGAGACATAGGTTTGGTAGTGTACGGGCTATGCACAAGTCTACGATTGCTGCTGTATCAGGTGGAGGCGAGAAGTATATTGATGAAAAACCAAGGTATGGTCATGCTAATAGTAATACAGCACAGAAGCCACACGATAGGGCCGATGGCTTGCAGAGATCGCGAATCCACAGGTACACCGGAGAGAGGGAAAGCCGCGGCGGGGTGTGTCTTATTTGTCATCAAACTAACTGGTATCAGTTTAAGTGGATATATGAGATTACTATCGGTACAAGAGATATGCGTGTCTGTTTTGGTGTAAAAGTATATTATTAATATGAAACTTATATATATATATATATATATATATATATATATATATATATATATATATATATATATATATATATATATATATATGTACATGTATTTTATTTATATATATATAAATTTATATATATGTATATATATGTATGTATGTATGTATGTATATATGTATGTATAGATATATATATATATTTTATATATATATATATATATATATTATATATATGTATGTATGCATAGGAAAATATATAGATGGGGGTGTGGGTGTGTGCGTCTCCTCATATATAACATCATATAAATATACGATA